ATTACGACGGCAACAAGGGTTGCAATACAAAGAGGGACGGCAATGGTAATACTAATAGACATTCAGATGATGACCAGACAATTTGGGCCTAAACGAAAGCCTGAGTGGGAGGAAAATGTACAAAAGCTAAATTCCGCTTTTAAACGTATCCTTTCTGAAAAATGGGCTATAAATGCGCCCTGCAGAGGTGGGAGTACCAATATCACTGACCATAAGTCAATTGCACTAAAAATCTGACTGAAGTGGAAATATGACTTAACAAGACATCGGAGCAACCTGTATCTAAGGCTGGAAGATATGCTATAGTGTCATGTAGGAAGTCACCAAGGCACCAGTCGGCCCGGTAATGGCCTCGGTAGCATGAAGTCCGTCGCACATGAGCCTCATCCTCGAGCCATGGTGTCTGCTCAACATCCTCTCATTCTGACGAGTCTGAATGGAATACAAAAAGGACTAATCCAAAACCTTAATCCTTCCGGGACAGGGAACACTCTGCAGATTCCTGAGTTCGGCCGTACAGAACGGAGAGTAGAACAATACGTCTGTTGACCCTGGCAACCAGCTAACCTGCCTCAACGAATGCACCAACAACTGCAGGTTCTAGTGCAACCTTACCTTCTGATCGGATTGACATGACGAACAGACCAGTCGAAGATGGGCTCGTGAACCGGTACATACCTCCCTTATACACATACAAACACGCATACACAATTGCCAATAATGCCATCGGACAAGAGTGTGGGATTCTTCCTGGCCGGTATCAGAGATCTGATGAGGTAGTGGGTATTGCGTGGGTGAACGTGGTTGAACTGAAAGTCAGAAATGTAAAGTACAAAACGGCTGTTCACTTGAGCGATGCATGAAAACCTGATGAGGGTGGAATCTCGGAGAGGGCCAAATAGCAAAGGAAACTTTCATGGTATTGGCGTCAATTTCACGATGCATATTTATAAGATAGTGTTTCTATGCTAACGCGACAGATGAAAAGTAAAATATAACCATTATCAGAACTGCTATTCGTATTGGTCGTGGATATGGAAGAGTGCGATTGAGCCTCAGACGTGGAAAATATCCATTCATGCTGAAGTGGGACACAGTTGACATGAGAGCCAGCCCCCTACGTGCGCATGTTAACACCCGATAAGACCAACATCGCCAACTTGCATCTGCTTACGCCTGCCCAGTCCGCACCCGAACCTGGTTGGTGCTATCTCAGGTGCTAAGTCTGGCGATGCCAGCGAAGAGTCAGGGAATGCTCTCATTCAAGGATCCGTGGATAGAAGACGTCATGACGACAATCACAGCGAAAGAAGAGGATACAGCAAAGCCAAAATTCACACCATCTTGATCTTCATATTTGAAATAATTTAATCCTCACAAGTCATCGGTCCCCAATCTAAATGCGTCCCTAGTTGGATTCGGACTCGACAGTAGAGCAGCTCTATTAAACCTTCTTATGTGCGTCAAATTACGAAGACTTTATGGAAAAATGGAAAGTAGACAGAGACGTCGTCTCAGTTGGGGATGTAACCAGTCCTAATGCCTTGCAGACTATTTAGTAAGACCACAAGTACGATATTTTGCGTCACCATAAACGACAAATAATAAGAATAAAAAGCATGGTCTGATAAATATCTTGAAACAATATTGCTGTAGAGACTTTCATTTCGTGTGAAAGTGCATGATTATTCCCGTTGTACTCCTGGCGCTTGGTTTTAATACAGCGTTCAAGCTAACGCAGTCCACGAGGCATCCCCAATTGCTTAGGTGAAAAAATATTTATATACAAATTTAGATAAAATGGTTTGGCAAGTTCTCCAATACTCGAGTGAATGTGCGTGCCTTTTAATGTTTGTACGCCGAAATTGCATACAGGCGTTTAAACACACAAATATGTATATATATATAGGTATATACTCAAACATTCACTCGAACATAAAAAAACTAACCAAAATATTATATATCATTCTTCGTTCATAAGTAGGGTCTCGAGGCTAATAGTAAATCAGTTATATGAGATGTATTCCCATTGTTTCGTTAAAGGTAATGAAGGACGGGTAGTTAACTTTTTCCACAATGCTATGAATAGAGCTGACGTTACCATTGAATTTCACATAGACTTGCTTTCCCTTACATCCTGGATG